CTCTCCACGGGTGAGCCTGGGCGCCGCGGGCCCGCACCCTCAGGCTCCTCCCCGGGGCTGTCCCCGTTCCCTGTGTCCTCGAGCTCGTCCTCAGGCCCCCGTGTCCTTTCCTTACGGCCCTCTCTGCCGTTTCAGGGACCGACGAGCACGGGCTGAAGATCCAGCAGGCCGCGGCTGCCGCAGGGACGTCGCCACCGGAGCTCTGCGAGCGGGTCTCGGGCCTTTTCCGCCAAGCCTTGACCCAGGCCGCCATCTCCTTCACAGACTTCATCCGCACCAGCGAGCCCCGACACCAACGAGCCGTGTGCCATTTCTGGGGGGCCCTCCGGGACGGCGGGGCACTCTACAAAGGGTGTTATGAGGGCTGGTACTGCACTCCTGAGGAGTGCTTCCTCCCTGAGAGCCAGCTGGCCGAGCGCAGGGATGCCCAGGGACACCCCTGCAAGGTGTCGGTGGAGACCGGTCATCAGGTAACCCGCACCAGCCCAGCCAAGGGTTGTCAGTCCTGTGGAAACACTGGACACTCATCTCATGCTCTGGTCTGGCCAAATTTCAGGGTGTTTAATGCGCCCTGTAGCCTTTTGTGATACATGTCAGCTGAGACTCATCTGTATTTCATAGAATGTCTCTTTTGTGTTTGTAGTGGTGTGTGGCTGTGCAAGGGAGAGCTGCCAGAGCTCCAACCGCCAGATGCAAATTTCAGCCACGTGCCATGGGAGTCAGCTGCTGCTGGCTTCCACAGGCTGTTGGCCTGGAAGTAGTGTTTTAAAGCAGTGATGAAATAACTTAGTTGTGCAGAAGGATAAAGGTGTTTATAATTAAGGTGTTCATTGGATGTCTGCTGTTTCAGACCTGTTTTGTGAGGCAATTCAGTTTGGCCTCTGGACATTTTTCATCAGTTTTGTCACATGGGTTTCAGCCCTACATAAAACCATGTAACATCATCTGCCTGTGGTCTAGTCTGATGACTGAATAGTGGTGCAACCAGGAGTGTGGTACCTGACCAAGAGTCTCCCACCACTGCATTTTCTGTAAGGTGTCAGGAGTTACACGATTTAATCCAGCAGTTGCAGATAATTGTGCTTCAGAGCTAAGCAGAGGTTATGCTCTTGTGATACTTGTACGAGGCTGGGGCATAGGAGTGCTGATTCACAGAGAAAGGGCTATGTTGGTAAATAATATCTCTTGATAAAGAACCTAATGTAGCTGGGGAAAAGATGAAGCTTACAGGCAAAGAAATCATTCTTCAGATCTAAGATAGAGCCAGCAGGCTTCAAAGTCAAATGTACCCTGAGACCAATTACTTGTCTTAGTTGCATGTTGCACTGTCCAGGAGAAACGGTCTTGCAAGGTGGTAGAAAGAGATGGTAGCTGTTTATCTCCAACCAGAAAGAGACAGTTGGGCAGTTTGTTGCTTGAGGGTTTGGTGAAGGAAAAGAGGGAGTTTAGAACATGCCATAAAACCCGTACTTCTGGTGAGTGACTTTGGGTATCCAGTAGAACCTGTGGGTGAAAATGTATAGCTCACCTTTGAATGATGTTCTTCAGGTCTTCCTTGAACACTGAGAGACCAGAGTCTGTTCTGTAGGAAATGATCCTCCTCCTTCTCTCTGTTACTGTGCTTTTGTGTCTCATAATCTGCAGAGAAGCTTGGAGAGGAGCTGCCAGAAGCTCCCAGTGTGGTCAGGGTACAGAGCACAGGCATTCAAGAGGTAGAGGGAACTGGGCCAGTTTAGTTTGGTGAACAGGATGTGAAGGGACAAGCTAATAGCAGCCTACACCTCTTCACAGGGCAGTTACAAAGATCACAAAGCCATGTGTGTCTTCGGGGTGCCAGGTGCTAGGGCAAGGGGTGATGATGCCACAAGCTGTGCGGCGTCAGGCCGGGCATTAAGGATAAGCTCTTTTCCCAGGAGGGTGGTGCAATCCTGGGGCAGGTCCCCAGCGATGCGGGGGAGCCCCATCCTTGGGATGTCCCAGCCTTGGCTGGGTAAGGCTCCTGTCACCCTTGGCTGGTGCCAGCCCTGCTGTGAGCAGGCTGTGGGGCTGGAGAGAGGTGGAGGGCCTGTCCCACCTATGCTGCTCTCATTTTATGGGTTCATTCTGGTGTGGGTGGTGGATTAGTTTACCTGTAGAGCGAGCAGATGCTCCATTGCAGGACCAGAACTGCGGTGTTCTGTATTTGCTGGGAAGGGAGCTGCATTTATTGAAGTATTGCATTCATTGCTTAGGTCCAGCCGGCAGACAGTTGGTGCATGTGGGGCTGCAGGGATTCCCTTTCTGATGCGGAAACGAGCTGGAGCTGGGAACTGACCATCCAGGGAACGTGATGAAAAGCCCCGGGGGGCTGGTAAACAACAAGCTGAACATGAACCAGCACTGTGCCCTGGCAGCAACGGCAGCCAATGGGATTATCTCAGGCTATGGAACAGGAGCAATAGCCGTTCAAGGGATGTGATTACTCCCCTCTACTCTAAATGACCACATCTGGGTACTACATGCGGTTTTCTATGCCCCAATACAGGAAACACAATTCAGAAACTGGAAGAAGTTCAGTGGAGGGCCACTGAGATTGTTAAGATGCTGGAGCACTTGCCATCTGAGGAGAGGCTAAAGGAGCTTGCTTCTTCAGCCTTGGAGAAGACAAGATTTTGGGAGGGCCTAGTGGCAAAAGCTCCCCAATACCTACGAGGAGGTCATCAAGATGGGGCCAGGTTCTAATGGTACATGGCAGGAGGATGAGAGAACAGGTGTAAGTTGAAACAAGAGGGTCAGACTGGATTTACAGACAAACTTTTTCCCTGTGAGGACAGCCAAGCAGCAGAACAGGCTGCCTGGGGAAGTTCTGCAGTCTCAATCCATAGACGTTTTCAAAATGTGCCTGGCTGAAGCCCCAAGTAACCTGTTCTAACCCTGTAGGTAGCCCTGCTGTGAGCAGGAGGCTGGACTAGAGACTTCCTGAAGTATCCCGTGCTCCTAAGGTCAGGGCTGTTTGAAGGTCAGGAGAGACGGCACGCAGATTTCTCTGCAGGGCAGATATTCCAGTAACTGTTGGCAGGCAAGCCGTCAACAGAGACACCAGTTTTGCAGGTTGTTATAATTACTCCGCCCTTTATCATCCTCTCTGTATGCTCCACTCAGCAGTTCTCAGGAGA